ACACACAACGTATAAGACTGTGTGTGAGTGTGTGAGATTTATTTTGGAATATAACATGAGACAAGTAAGATATTAGTTACAGAATTAGAAAATCTGATATGTAGTGAACTATTGTATATTGTGCTGTAAAAATAGAAAATTAGATTTTACATCTGATTATTTATACTGGGTGGACTTGAATTTGAACCATAGATCTACACATAATCACAGATACACTCATGTGTATTTACACTAGGGTGTGAATGAGCCAAGCTAGCTTGTTTTGGCAGACTCTAGCTCGAGTTCGAGTTCATTTTGTCGAGCTCGAGCTCATCGAGTTTATTTTTTTTTGGCTTGAGCTCGAGCCCAAGCTCATTTTGGCTTTTAATTTTGTAATTTTTTTGTATTTTTCTATTAATTTTTTATTATTAAAAATTAATTAAATTATAATAAAAAGAATTTAAAAAATAAATTGTAATTATATATATATATATATATATATATATATATACTAGGTGAGGAGCACCGCGCAATGCGCGGTGCCGGTGCCTTGTTTTATTCACCGCCCATCAACACTACATAATTGATAAATTTTGGGTTCTCTTCATCTGCTACAGTTAACACTATATCTATCAATCTATCTAGCATTAAAAGAAGTCCCTGTTTTCCTAATTAGCTATTTTCACACTGCAAAACAAGCATATTTTGTTAGGTAATCCACACTCTCTCTCTCACACACACACACACACATGCAGAAATCCGTCATAGCTCTATCCCACATAAAAGAACTGAAAACTGAATATCGTTTAATATATATAATTGAAAAACAGTACTGGAGAAATATCATAAGGAATAAATGCAACACAGACTCATATCGTAAGGAAAATGGAATACCGGAATGTATTGAGGCAAAGAAGAAAATTATTTCATCACTTCAACCATGCGCCTGGATCCAGAATCGGAACCTAAATGGTTTTACCTTAAAGGGAAAACATATAAACTCACCAATTCAGGTTGTCGAACAAATCACTGTATGCATCGGTTGGCTCTACAAACTTGTCAACATCGTGGCTCAATCTATTACTTTGTTTGTTCAGGTAAAATAATTTTTGAAAATGGAAAAATCAGCCAACATAAACTTTCCAACTTTAAGAACATAAAAGAACTCATAATAAGTTATCAGAACTAAAAACTATACCCTATTTGATCTGCCTACACCGTTGTTGTGCAGTCTAGAGATATCTTCCACGAGAGGATCACCTGCAAACTGCGTATTAATATAAAAATGTACATAGATGAATAATTAAGAGTGTCTCCCATGTATACAATGTCGATCTGTTTGATTGAATAATACAAGTTTAATATTATAACCATCCAAAGAATACTTGTATATCAGTTCAAAACTTCAATAAAACTCCCAATAAACTAAACAAATAAAAACTAAACTCAAGCAACAACTTATGACTAATGAAAAGAGAAACACATGCAAATTATAAAACCTCTATAGATCACAGATAACCAATAAACATGCATCAATTATTCGATTTTTAAGAATTGGCACTCAAATAGTGAAAGTGAAACTCATACGCATCCAGACGGGGCAAAAAAAATGGCGGCAGTCAGGTGCCTGGTCGGCCCCACAAATGCAATCCAAGCAGACGCGCTCCCTCCATAGCTTCAACTCTCTACTCTTACCACGCCTATAAAAAAAAAATCCAACATATTAGCGTCAAAAGAACCACCCATTTATAGCAATTTGTACCAAACAAGAAACTAAAAACAATAAGCCAAGATATCATTTTTAATGTGCTTAAAATCAAACAAACTAATACTCATATAACTATCAGAAACTTTTTATTATTGCAGCTAATAATAAAAGTGATATAACATGATGCACTTAAACCTAATAAAAAAATTCAAGAGTATCAACCTGTACTAAATAAACAAGCATCATTTTTTGATACAAAAGAGAGCATGGAATCATAGAACATAGCTGAATTCTAGCAGCACAAAAAAAGATCATTTGTCATTGGAACTGAACTGTAAAATTTTAATGACAGAAAAAACACCTAATACAGTTGTTGCGCAAGTGCAAGTCCTCAATATGTTTTACCAGACAAGACCCCACGAGCAGATCTGCAATGGAAGTGTTTACATTTATTAGTTGAAATTCCAGTCGAGAATCGATAGCATAAATTAAACAATCGATACCAGACCTCATTTGATTAAAGATAAAAAGAAAAATTGTGCAAAGGAAACACAAACAAGAAATTCAGCTACAGAGATTTGCTGCACATATGCTTGTTTGCCACAATCCTCAATTTTCTAAGTTGTAGTTGCCTCATTGCTTTCACCTGCTTCAACAATGCATGATCTTAAAATAAGGAAAAAATCAGGCCACAGTTTGAAGAATAAGACCATATCACCAAAACAGAGAGAAACAAAAACAGAGGAGTTCCATTAAAAAAAATTCAGAATATCCGAACAATAGCAAAAGCAAAGGCTAAAATCGACAAATCATAGACTGACGAGCAAAATCAAGGCCTGAAAAATACAATTTTAGATTAAATATCGAAGAATGCTTTCGGGATGTTATACGGGGTTTACACTTACCACACCAATGTGCCTTTCAAGGCTACAATGACATAAATCTCAAGATTTCGCGTCCACAAATGAGGCACGGTGTTGTAGAACACGGAAGAACTAACACGAAGAATCCCCAAAGGAAACACCTAATAATCGTAAAAACAAATGAATAGGAGGAATCATCTCTCCACAAATAAATTTAAAGAAACTCAAATACACTTTGGTAGGGGTATGAAGAATTTTTACAGGAAGACGGGGTAAGGTTTCGAAAGCAAATTGTTGAGCACGTACAAACTGTAAAACCAAAAGAAAATTCATAAAAAAGGAAAGACAATTTGTATAAAATCAGAAACATTATTGGATGAAACATTAAAATACTTTGAGGCCAAAACCCACAACACCTCATTTCGTCACCACCAATGTAATAAAAAAAATAAGAAGATGATACTAAAGCAAGAGGAAGCTCATAAGAAAGAGAAGACACTGTACGAAGTACGGAAAATTATTAGAAAAAACATGAAAAACTCTCAAATATAAACATAGGACAGTTGTAATGGCGGACGAGTCTGGGAAGAAATTAAATTAATACAAAGAACAGTGGAAGCGTTCCAACCGAGAGTTGAATAAAATCGATCGAATCAATACCAATACATAAAATTTGGGAGAACTGGAGAAAAAGAAGAGGATGAGAAAGAAAATAGGATCAATACCATGATTATGTTGGAGAAAAGGGGTGGGCACCGACAATTCTTGAGTAATCCAAGTCCGGATGAGATCGAAAAGGGGGAGCGGTCTGCAATTGGACGAAAAATGCGGTGGGAAGTGACGCTGGCAGCTGGGGCGGTGGCCTCGAACGAAGCGGCGGAGGCGGCGGCGGAAGACCTGATTGAAGGCGGCAACGGAGGGCGGCGGTCATAGTCAGAAATTGTAGGCCCGTGTACCACCGTTCAACACCTGGATGCACACCGTTCAACACCTGCAGAGAAAATTACAGGGAAGAAGTCGTCGATTGCGGCGAAGGGCAGATTTTGAAAAAAAAAAAAAGGAAAAGAAGAAGCACAGAGGTCGATCGTGCATCCGCGAGAAGAAAACGAAAAAGAAAAGAATTGTGCAACGTGATTGGCCGGTAATGATGAAATGACGCCGTTTCAGAATAAAACTGTCCAACAAAAAAGCAGAAGTAAATAGGGGGGCGGGATTTGGGGGCGATAGACATATATATATATATATATATATATATATATATATATATATATATATATATATATATATATATATATATATATATATATATATATATATATATATATATATATATATCTATCTCTATATATCTATATATATATATATATATATATATATATATATATATATATATATATATATA